GTTTAATAAATATTTTGTTGAAATTGGTCCAACCCTATCAGATAAAATTCCAATTACCAAAACTTCTTTTTATGATTTTTTAGCACCTCTTGATAAAGAGGTTTGCTCAGATGAACTATCGTCCGAATTGTCCTTTGAAGGGTTTGAAAAAGCTTTTAAAACCTTAAAAAAAAAATAAAGCAACTGGGCCTGATGAAATAAACGGAAATATAGTTATAAATTGCTATGAACAAATTAAAAATATTCTTTTTAAAATCTACAAAGCATCCATCCATCAAGGAATTTTCCCTGAGCGCTTAAAAATTGCTAAAATTATTCCAATTCACAAAGAAGGCGACAGATCCAATATCAATAATTACCGCCCCATCTCTATCCTATCTGTATTCTCTAAAATCCTAGAAAGAATTATGTTTAACAGAGGTAATAATTATTTTAATTACAATAACCTACTATACAATTATCAATTCGGTTTCAAAAAAGATAGTTCAACTGAGCATGCCATTATTCAATTTGTACGCAACATCTCCAAATCCTGTGAAAAGCTCAATATACATTAGGTATTTTTATAGATCTATCAAAAGCATTTGATACGGTTGACCATAATATTTTAATACAAAAAATGAAATATTACGGTTTAAACAATAATACTTTAGCGTGGTTTAAAAGCTATTTAACAAATCGTAAGCAAGTAGTCTATAGCAATAATAACGTTCAAAGTGGATCCTTAAATATAATCTGTGGTGTTCCACAAGGTTCTATTCTTGGACCGCTGCTATTTCTTATATATGTCAATGATCTAAACAAAGCTTCTAACCTGAGTATTATTTATGCCGATGACACGAACTTATTTCAATCGCACATTGATGTTTACAAACTTTTCTCAAAAACTAATAATGAACTTATAAACATTTCTAAATGGTTTAAATGTAATAAATTAACGTTTAATACTAACAAGACTAAATGGATTCTTTTTCATTCCTTCTCAAAAAAACGTTCTTTACCAGATATTATGCCTCAAATTTATATTGATGAAACTCTTATAAAAAGAGATTCTGCTATAAGATTCCTAGGTGTTTATCTTGATGAGAATATTACTTGGAAAAACCATATTAATCATGTAACCACCAAGGAATCCAAAAATATTGGCATTTTGTATAAAGCCCGACCTTACTTAAGCAAAAAAAGCCTTACGCAGCTCTATTACTCATTCATACACAGCTATATAAACTACGCAAATATTGCATGGGGTAGTACCGAAAAAAGTAAACTAACAACGTCTATATCGCCAACAGAAACATGCGATTCGCGTGATTAATTATGTGGATCGCTCTACACATTCAAAGCCTTTCTTTGATGAAATGAAAATACTTAATGTCTACAAACTTAATGTTTTCAATGTTTTATGTTTTACTTATATGTGGAAAAACAATTTATCCCTACCTGATTTAACGACCTTTTTACATTAAAACTTACTAATAAGTAGAAGAAGTGGAGGCATAACCGCCCCCGTAAAGTTTGGAATAATGTTAGATGAAGATAAAAACGAAATGTGTTTTTTTACTAGTTTATTTTAATAACCTCATCATTAAGCTTTAAATTGATGCAATTAAGAAAAAAAATTAACGGTTTTTGAAAATGTTATTTCACAAAAAGTACAATTAGTGAAAAAAACGGTTTTGCCCCCATTGTGAGGCATAACCGCACCCTCACAAAAATCGTTGGGGGTACACCTTTCATGGTACATTTTCTTTACAATTTTCACAGCTCAGATTATTTGATGATTTTGTTGCATGTTTGCATAATTTGCAGGCGTTATTTATATTTACATTTTGAGTTCTGCTCCAGAAGAGAGTTCTGTCCCAGAAGAGAGTTTTTAGAAAGAATTCAGTTTCATAGCTTGCTTATTAGATTATGCTGATATCAAAAATGGTTTTCACTTGATGAAATAATGCTGATAACACATGTCTTTAACACTAAAATCAAATATTGCTTAATTCTGGAAATCTGGAAATCTGGAAAAATATGATGTAAATATAAAATTTTTATCAAAATAAACATTATTATGCACAATTTCACAGAAACGTAACAAACACACTTTTTGACATATGCAAAATGAAGGAAACTGTTTTACTAACGCGTGGTATATTTTTTGCCATATTAGATAATATTTTTCTAAGGGAAATGTTAAAAAACGGTTGTGCCTCTTTATGCGGTTATGCCCTAACTTCCCCTACTCACTAAGAAATAAAGATTTGCTAAATGAACCATTTTGTAGAACAAATTTTAATAAATTTTGTATTAATTATAGAGCACCTTACCTTTGGAATAAAATAGTTCTGCCTAATTTTGATCCTTTTATCCGTTTTTCTGTTTTTAAAAATGAATTTAAAAAAATTCATTCTTGCTATGGATGACATTTTAAGTTACTATTAGCTTGAAGTATTAACTTGATTTATGAGATTTGTAATAATATTTATATTAATAAATTTATTTTCTTTAATTTCTATCAGATTTATAAAATTTATTATTATGGATTATTATAACAGATTTGTGAGAATTATTATTACAGATACGTGATTAATATTATGAATTTATTATTATATATTTATTATTACGGCCGTTTTTGGATTTATATTTTCAGTTTTTATAGTATGATAAAGTTGTAAAGGTTCTGATGATAAGATCAGTTGATCTTCTTTCAGAAGCCTTGTTTTCTTTGTTCTTGTAAAATATAGTAATTATTTTACGGCAAATGTAAACAGAAAAAAAAAAAAAAAAAAAGAGCATTTAATCGGAAGTTCACGCCTCATTCCTAACCGATGTCGCAAAACTTGCCCAAAGGTGGGGTTTGAACCACGGATCCTTTGTTACTGAGGCAAGTGCGATACCACTGCGCCACAGCTGCTCAATGATGCATATGGCCCTTTGCAAAGATAAAGGTTGAGTTGTCATTTGCGTGACACTTTTAATGTCTGAGAAAACCAAATTTTGCATTTTCACACTAAACCATTTATTACTTAATATGTTGAAGCCCAAAACTTTACGAAACCTTACGTTTGGCTTGCTGCTGTTGTTGTTTGAGTCACTGTTGTTGTTAATCATTAAATATAAGCTTACGTTATTTCCTAGCTTGCCTTGCTGATTTTTTGCTGTCAGCGTTTTTTAAATTTATCTAGAATTTCAAGTTTATTGAAAAACTCCCCTTTTTTTTTTGTGTGTGTGCTGAATACGAAACATTTGTTTCAAAACTTCAGCAAGAGATTGGAATAATCGGAAATCTTTTGATCTTTCATTGATAATTTGTGTAATAACGTAAAGATAGAAACTCGATTGATTTTTAGCTCGTAAAACGAGCTAAAAATCAATCGAATTTCTATCTTCAAAATTACATTTAGCATAACAGAAAACATTACACTTTTACTTATTTACTATGCTCATATGCAACATATGTTGAATCTATTATGAGTTCATAATTATTCCTGAAAATTTTTACAGTTTTTGCGATTTGAAAAAAAGATTTCTTCTGGTAGTTTATTCCACCATTTTGAAATTCTTTTTGTAAGAAATTTTTTTTTTTTTTGCTTTTTATAAGTTCAATATTAAAATGTGCTTGATGACCTCTAATGTTCGCTACTAGACCACAAGTTGAAATAGAAATTACATACATTTGCATTATCTTCTATGTACGCAGAACGAAATTACTTGTTTAAAAAATTATCAATACAAGGCTTGTTGAAATTATTGAATTATTATTAAATGCTCTTATATCATTTTTCTACTTTTTTTGTATGTATGATTATAGTAATTTGGGTCAATTTTTACCTTATTTACCAAGTTTCGTTAGTATTTTTTAACCACATTATTTATTTGCTTTACAATGTTTTTTTCCCTCCATTTTATTACATTTCTCTTTTGAGCCAAATATAGACATGTTCATTTTTTGCCCAATAATAATTTTTGCAAGTCATTTGACATTCAAACTTCGATTGCTTTACCTTTTAGTTTTACAATAAATTTCTTGCATGATTGATTGTAATGATATAAAAATTTATATTATAACATTTGTCAACAGATATGTTTTGAAATTCATCAACTTATGCTTTTTAGATAAATATTTATTTTATCATAGTATCTTCTACGATATGCAATTTTTTTAGATATTGTTGAAAAAACCATGTTTTTTATTTTTTATTTTAAAAAACCATTTTAAAATATGTCTTTTTCTACTCAGACCAAGTGATGGCAAATGAGAATTTAAAAACACGATTATTATTATCTACAATTAATAGATCCTAGGTAAGGGGAAAAAAAAGATATAACAGATAACCCTAGGTAGGTTACAAAAAACAAAAAAATGCTTTTCAAAACTCAATATTAAACGAAATAAAAAAAAGTTTAACAAAAAATGTATAAACTATTTACAAACATAAATAATATATAAACATAATATACAAATCTACATAACAACTTGCAGAAGCGTTTTAATAAATAAAAAAAACGGAAAAAATAAATTAAAAACAATATTAAATAAAATACTAAGTGGAGCCAGGCATTTTAAAAACCAAGTATTATAAATAGTGAGCGAAGCCAAGTATTTAAAATAGTAAATGAAGCCTATGGTAAGTAAAAATTAATTTTAAATAGTAAAGCCAAATATTTTAAATTCTAATGATAAATGGCTAATTTTAAAAATAAATTCTAATATTTAAATTATTAAGTTCAGCAAATTTTTTTGTTTTTTATACACAAACATTAAAATTACTAATAGTAAATAACTTTGATCACCTTGATAAATAATATTCTTTATAACAAACCGTTGTCGCATGTGACAATACCTTTCTAATAATATATATATATATATATATATATATATATATATATATATATATATATATATATATATATATATATATATATATATATATATATATATGCGTATGTGTATACACACATATATATAAATATATATAAATATATACGCGCACGCACACATATATACATACATATACTTAAAGATAAACATACACTACATCATATACATATGCATCCTATATAATGCATCACTCTATACATATATAATACATCTTTTAATCACTTTAACAGTGATTCAAATAAATCAATTATTTAAAAAAACCCTGTTTGTCGGTATTGAGTTATGAACGGAATAGTGTAGATAGACTTACAACTTAAGTACAAAAAAAACACTAGTACCGTTATCTTTATGAAGCCGCTCTCTTGATTTTGTTTAACTTTCTTTTTTTATAGATAATCAGTTTTTATCGATTATCTCAAAACAAAGTCGTGTGGACAATTGGGATTTTTTAAATAAATGATTTTACAACTTAAAAACCACAAGTGTTAACGTTTACCAAACGGAGCACTTCACTTCTGGATTCATAGGAGAGCCGATGGGACAATTAAATATCTTTGCAAAGTCTTTATTAAATTTCACAGAACCACGAACCCTTAAATTAAATTTTTTATAGCTATATATGTATTCTATAGACACCATTATCATTATATAGCAACAATCCTCAAAAAAACATAAAAACGGGCGTCAATATAAGGGATATTAGAAGATATCCTTTTTCATTTATTTAAGGAACAGAAACACCGTATAACCAAAGCTGAATCTATTTTACAAAATATGAACAAAAACAGTTTCTGTATGGCTTCATTATTCAAAATATGATCTTTGTTTTTTTTCCAAATGGTTCATGGGGAATGACAAATACATATTACCTCAGCACTGCGCATGTTAATAGCACAACTTACTTTTGCATATAAAAAATTTTTTTTAACTATTTTTAATGTTTCATGTGCAAAAAGTATTGACATTTTTATAATTAAGATCCAGAGCTGATGGAAAAAAAATGGTAGAAAATAAAATGATGATACATGATGGTAGAAAAGCTTTAAAATTTGTACTAAAAAAAGTTCACTTACCTGTCAAACTCTGGAGAGTGCACATCTGTATTTATTTGATCAATCAACACATTGCTTAATTTAGATGTACACCAAGACTAAATAAATAGAAAAAGAAATTAATAACATTTACAGTGTGTATGCTTAAAAACTAAGATTTTTTTACATAATTACATAATTTTATATATCTTTTACATGCTTTTTTTTATAACTAATGAAACTGCATTAAAGTAAAAATTCCTACAGTTGATTTAATTCTGTTCTTTACTTAAATCATACAGTTGATTTGCTAACTGCGTATATTAAATATATACTTTTGTATTTATGCTTAGTGAATCAGTGAGAATTCGATTCTTGGTGTTAGTAGCTGCTCAGACATGTTTGAATTTTTATGTAAAAGCTTTCTCAATAGAAAAGATCTGCTTATAGTATTGATAAGTGCTTTCTATATGCTTATATGGATTTTCTATATGCTTATATGGATTTTCTATATGCTTATATGGATTTTCTATATGCTTATATGGATTTTTTATATGCTTATATGGATTTTCTAAGTGATGCGTACAATCCTATTTTTCATTACTTTAATTTTTTTGTACTGCTTCATTGTATGCATTAACACCTAGTAAATGGTCATTGAATGACTCGGCTAAACTAGCATACTTACATAATTAATAAAACCCTATAGGGTCTAACAGGACTGGGTGAATAACTGTGTTTTGACCTAATAATTTTATCTTGGTTGTTTTCACACATTTTTGTGGTTGTTCTCACACATTTCTCTGCCGAAAATAGTTCTGATTATAAGTTTAAGAAAATGTGTTGAAATAAAAATCAATAAACAAAAAACCAAGCGTCTCAAAATCATAATTAATCATCGTAATGAAGTTTCCCGAAGAGAGGTTGCTCAAAAATTTGAATGAAGCAGAGCACTTATTAATTACTTGTTAAAACAAAGAATCAGCATCAGTTCCCACAAAAATGAAAAGAATACCAATGCAAAATAATGACCAGAAGAACGAATTTGGCTAAGATCTAATTGTAGTGGAATTCCGCCTGTAGCGGCAGTTTGCAAGGAAAATTGTGCATCGTTGAAGATGAATCATATTTTAGTTGGCTCACAGCACAATAAATTGCAATAATATTTTTTCATTCAAGTTACAGTTTTTCACTCAAGTTACAACATTGAGTAAACACCTAAAATATAGAAAAAATATTAAAACTGCAATATTTATCTAAAATGGCTTGTTTTATAGTAAAATATTGTAAAATATAGAAAAATATAGAAAACTGCAAAAGTTACTTAAAATGGCTTGTTTTATAGTAAAATATTGTTTTTTTCAATTGTTATACAAATAACACGATGGCATTATGACAAAAATCAAATAGCACTTTGCTCCCAGCGATCTTACAATTAATCAAAATCTTTACTTGGTACATGGCATCAAGAAGCAACTAGTGCTTTTTATCAAAGAGTGTTTAATATGACAATAGCACGCCATTAAAACAAGATTTACGGAGAATTTTAAAAGGATGGTCTTATGAAAAGAACTGACAGGCAAGAAATTTGAAACAACTTAGTATTAGAATAAATTTCTGCCTCAAGAAAGTCGACAAGAACCTTATAAAAGACTTAGTTAAGCCAACTCATTCTCTAATTGGAAAAATGCAAGCTCTTGCATAGTTACCACTATGCAAGAGCTTGCAATAAGCAAGTATGTTGGCATGGTTACAAAAATTAAAATTTTTAAAAAAGAAACCTGAGCAAAAGCAATGAAAAAAACTTCATCATTTGATTTTCCTAAACCAGGTAACATTAGTTCTTCTCCATTTTTCTCAACCCACATTTTGTAAGCCTAAATAAATTATAAAGTGTTGAAAGTCTTTCACAAAATCACAAATAGTACTTATTTACAAAAATTTAGATTTAATCACTAATTTTATAATAATTTTAATAAAAACTTTTAATATTTTTTCTATATAACCTGTTAATATAAAGTGTTTTCTTTAACAAATTTTTAAGTTTTTCTATTTTAAATATTCACATTTAAATTTTTAGTTTTCTGTTTTAAAAATTAAAACTTTAAAGTTTCTCTGTTTTTAATATTTATCTTTAAACTTAAATTCTTTTTTAAATATTTTCTTTTAAATACATTAAAATACTAAAAACCTTGAGCCTGAAAACACAAACTTCATTTAAATACTCCTTAATCCTAACGTACTTAATTTTTCCCTTAGGATTTCACAAATTGTAACAACAAACTTATACACAAAAATTTTAATAGCTGCTTTAAAATAATTATAAATAATTTTTTTTTAAATAAATTACAAAAGGAAACAATTGGAATAAAATATAAAAAAACAGCCAACCAATAAACAAGATTAAAACAATGTTTAACTAATGTTAAATGTTAAACAGTCCAATAACTTTTAACCTGCATATTAAAATATAAAGTGATTGAATTGAGCAATGATTAAAAAACTTCCATGATTGAAACTGTTTAATTGAATTCAGATAATAAGTAAACTATTGTACAAAAGTATCAAGAAAAATATTGCAATAAAATAGATTCTAATCCTGAATCATTGTCTTTTCATATTTGTAATGATCAGTTTATTTCAGTTAACAATTAACAACATTATCAACTAAAATTCATTCTCGTTTTACTTGTCATTCAGCTAAGTCTCATTCATTTACTGTATCTGTCCCTGCATGCTCTAAAAACTTTTATTCATCTAGTTTTTTTCCCCGCAATTCAATCCTTTGGAACTCTCTCCCATCTTCATGTTTTCCTGACTCATACAACCTTCAACTTTTCAAGTCTTCTGTCAACCGTTTCCTTGCTCTATAACTGTTCTTTTTTTTTCCTAGTAACTCCCAACTTAATAGTGGTTGCTTGCAGCCTTGTTGGGAGTGAATGCAAATAAAAAAAAAAACAAAAAAAAAACATTATTAACAATCTTATAAATGGAACTGTTTATTTTTAGAGAGAGGGTCAAAGTAAATAAAAAACTATTCACTGTCTGGATAAATACTTAAGAAAACATCAAAATTAAAAAATAAATTTGCTTCAGAAATTAAAAGATTAACGTTTTTTTTATTGAATCTAGTTATATTTGTAACTTCAGTTTCCAAGTTCATTATCTTATTCCAAAGATTTTGTATAATGTTTATATCAAAACCTTTTCCTTTAGTTCTTTTTTTGAATCTAATGACCATATTCTTCCTATCATTCTTAAGAAACATGTTTTCCATAGATAAACATCCAAATGACTCCTGCTTCTGTTGCTAAAACTTATACTTCTTACCTGTTAAAACTTATACTTCTTACCTGTTAGAAAATCTGTAATTTTTTTGAACTCTAGAGATTGTTCTGACTCTTCTAACATCCAATCAGTCTTCTTCTTATTACTATTATTATTAACATCCAATCAGCCTTCTTCTTATTATTATTAACATCCAATCAATCTTCTTCTTATTATTATTAACATCCAATCAGCCTTCTTCTTCTTATTATTAACATCCAATCAGTCTTCTTCTTCTTATTATTAACATCCAATCAGTCTTCTTTTTCTTATTATTAACATCCAATCAGCCTTCTTCTTCTTATTATTAACATCCAATCAGTCTTCTTTTTCTTATTATTAACATCCAATCGGCCTTCTTCTTATTATTATTAACATCCAATCAGTCTTCTTCTTCTTATTATTAACATCCAATCAGTCTTCTCCTTATTTTTATTAATTATTAACAAACTTCTAATATCCCATCTTGAGTTGAACAATTTTTTGACAGATTTTGATCCTCTTGTTCTGCTGCTCACTTATTGATTGCAGAAAAACATATAAAACTCTTATTGATTGCAGAAAAACATATAAAACACTTATTGATTGCAGAAAAACATATAAAACACTTATTGATTGCAGAAAAACATATAAAATACTTATTGATTGCAGAAAAACATATAAAACACTTATTGATTGCAGAAAAACATATAAAACACTTATTGATTGCAGAAAAACATATAAAACACTTATTGATTGCAGAAAAACATATATAAAAACAGAGAGGTTTTATTGTACATTAGGTGCAAGAGCTATTACTATTGATATATCAAAAGGTTTTTTTTGATAAAATCTAATATGCTGGTTTTCTTCAGATGCTTTATATGTGTATCTAGGAGCATTTTTAAAATTATTGAATCATTAATCATATTGAACCACAGTATTAAAGTTGTACTTAATGGAAAACATTTCAATTCCAGTAATTTTTATGTTACAACAGTTCCATCATTGGTCATTTGTTTTTCCTTATTTTCATTATAAATCTTCTTGACGATCTTTTTCAATAGAAATTTTCTGTTGACAAAGGGAGACAAACCTTATAGTTCTGCAAAACCCAAAGGTATTTGCCTAAGAAACTTTCTATCAGGCAGTAGCCAGATGCCGTTAACATCTGCCCATGACTAGTGTTTTAAATGAAACACTATATACTACTAAGATGTACCTACATGAGGCTTACCTGTATCTGAAGTAAAGACTACTAAGTAATACCTGTAGTTAAGTTCAGAGGAAAATAGTGTTTCAATTAAAACACTAGTCATGGGCAGATGTTAACGGTTAATAAAAATTACTTATAGATACAGTTTAATAATAAAAACTTTTAGTTATAATCAAAAATTATTTCTAAGTAAAAAAAAAGATGAGAATTTTTTGGTTAAAAACTTTAAAAGTTTTCAATTAACTTGAATAAACATTTATAACATAATAAAATAAGTTTCCAACTATTTTTTGAGAAACTTAAAAAGTTTCATATTTTAGGAAATTCATGTTTATTTAAAGAGATTTACTACTCAGCAGTATTAGTTAATTGGTTGTTAACCAATTAATTTTTTATATAGAATCTTAATTAAAAAAATCTAACCTTAAAAGAAGCTTTTAATCCTCCATTGTCTGCAAGATTTTCACCAAGCGTCACATTTCCTTTTATCTTTAAAAAAAAAAAAAAAGATAACCTTTTTTAAATCAGAAGATGAAACTCATATATATATATATATCTATATATATATATATATATATATATATATATATATATATATATATATATATATATATATATATATATATATATATATATATATATATATATATATATATATATATATAAGGGTGTTACCTAGCCTGATGGCACCACGTATAACGCGGTATTCCCAATTGGTTTAAAATTCCCAAAGGTTCATAAGATCATAGTAACAAAAAAAAAAAAATTAAATGCGCTTTTCTCAAAAAACGTAATTGAGGCGTTTTAAAAAATGGCTGCAGTATATCAAAAACAAAGAAAAGAAGCGATTTAAATGAAAACTTTTGAAGATTGCTCATGATGAAACAAGTTAATTAATTAAAATTAAACATATATAAAGTTGAAAAATAATCTTGCTGTAAATGTAACTCCGAGCAAAAATAGAAAGTTTATTTTGATTAGAATTTAATTGCAGAATGTAAAGACCTTTTTTTTTTTTTGCCGCACTTAAATACCCAATTTTGCAAAAACACTGTATGAAATTTTTTCCTGGGTAACACCCTATATATATATATATATATATATATATATATATATATATATATATATATATATATATATATATATATATATATATATATATATATATATATATATATATATATATATATATATATATATATATATATATATTATATATATATATATATATATATATATATATATATATATATATATATATATATATATACATACACTTACTAAAGCGTGTTTTGATAAGCATTTGCTCACTTTTTCTGCTTACCTTAAGCTATACCGTTTTTTTCGAAAAAGAAGAAAAAACGAAGAACTATGAATGAAACGATTGCTTCCCCATCCCAAACCCTCAGTCAATGTAGCAGCCTATTTGTCAGTCGATGTATGTACTGAAGCCCTCAGCAGCAGGCAATTTCAGTATGACGTCAGATTATTTACCTTAGTACGCAATACTATTTGTATGCATATATGCATATATATATATATATATATATATATATATATATATATATATATATATATATATATAATTCCGAGGGTTGTGTGTGTGTGTGTGTGTGTTTGTGTGTGTGTGTATATATATATATATATATGTATATATATATATATATATATATATATATATATATATATATATATACATATATATATATATATATATATATATATATATATATATATACATATATATATATATATATATATATATATAGGGGATAGTCTAGTAAGGTAGGGGATAGTCTATTTAGGTAGTGGTTCCCCCTGTTCCGGAGAAATTTTGCCATAAAAAATGTAAAAAAATATTTGCTGTAAAAAATGTAAAAAAAAAAGGTCCTCAAATTTTAATTTGAGTGGCGCCCAAATCGGCGTCCAAATACGGTCGACGCTGTCTTAAACAGTCTTGATTAGCCCCTGATATATTTATATTTATATATATATATATAATATATATATATATAATATATATATATATATATATATATATACATATAAATATATATATATATATATATATATATATATATATATATATATATATATATATAGGCCTGGCTCGTGGTTTTTTTTGTGTGTGTGCGAAAAATGTTTGGCGTCTTTGATTTTTTTTCAATAAGGTACTAAAAAGCCATATTATAAGCAAAACCCGGCCACTATTTTCTTTGGTTTTATATTATTAACTTTTAAAAGTAAAGCGAAGCCATTATCAATTTTTTTTATGTTTTATAATTTGTAACTGTCAAATTATTTTAAAATAGGTCCATATTTATAAACTATAATATTTTGATTATAATTTTAAGGCAAATTAAATTCATTTATGACAAAAAAATTAAACAACCAGAGTTGTGATTAAAACTTATTTCTTTATTAATCAAAAAAAAAATTAACAAAACTTAAATAATCCAAGTAATAACAGGAGAAAAACGAAAATAAAATTAATTAGAAAAATATGACAAAAAAATGTCTAAATAAAACATGAAAAATATTGCATAAAATATTAAACTTTACTACTAAAGGATTCGCCAGGCTTTGATTTTAGCAAAATTTTTACACAACAGATCTAGGTTAATAGATTTGGCAATGTCCGATTCTATGGAGATTATTGCCAAACCATTCATTTTTTCTTGCCCCATAGTTGATCGCTAGTAATTTTTAATCATTTTTAAGTTAAAAAAAGTTCTTTCACCTTTAGCAACAGAAACAGTCAAAGTTAATAGCACTCTTAATGCAATCAGTGCATTTGGAAAGAGTTCTTTAACGTTGTTATTATAAATTCATTTCAAAATGTTTTCTGGGTTAGTATCATCTTCAATTTTTCGAGACAACAACTTCAGCTAAATTTGTAATTCGTTTGCGTCAAGATCTTTGCTTTCTTTATAAGTTAATGCTATTTCTAATAATTTACATTTATCTATGAGTTCATTGTTCTCCATTTCATCACATTTTTTAATATCATACAAAAGTTTAAACATAACACTTTTAAATGATTCAAAACATTCTTTCATTGAAGAAATTGCTATTGTAAATAATAGGTCGAAAAATTTCCTTTTGAATTTCACTTTAAGATTAATGGACTCGGGTGCTTCTGGCTCCTCTCCAAAAAAATGCGTTCTTTTTCGGACCCGATTTTTTACCTCAGGCCTATAATCGTTAGTTAAATCCGCATCTATAGCGCATACTTTAGCTTCTGAAATATATTTAGCGAAAGAAACTTCGGAATTACAAGAAATCAAAAATTCAGTTGTTTTTTTTAACACACTACATGCTGATCCAACATCCATGCTCTGCGATTGTAATAATATGCTTATACAATTTATTTCTGATAGAACATCTTGCCAGATTATTAGACCACAAATAAATTCAAACCTGTCTACTTTTGATGCAATTGATTCAGCTTTTATGCGTGTAAGTGCATCTTTTTCCAATTGAGCGACTTCTTTTAACACTGAATAAATGCCTTTCAATCCGCTTTTCAAAGCACTAACGGCATTTAACTTGGCTTTCCCATCGTGTATCACTTAATGATTTTACTGTCAATTTATAACACATGGATATGAAAATATGCCAACGCTTTGGCGATCTTGAGAAAAAATTGTAAATTGTTTGGATGGTTGAGAAAAAATTAATAATTTCAATAGCTCCTTGCACAGCATCAACAACGACTAAATTTAAGGAGTGGCAGACACATGCAATGAAGAAAGCCCTTGGATTTATGTTTGTAATATGAGCCTGAACACCGTTTATTTTTCTACGCATATTGCCTCCATTATTGTAGCCTTGACCACAAAGATTCATAATTGATAAGCCATTTTGTGTCAAAAAAGTTAATATTTCTTCGGTCATTTTTGCTCTGGTTGAATTCAAAATGTTAATAAATTCCAAAAAACTTTCTTTAACTTCCACAATAGCATTATTACCTTCGGTTGATTTTGTTATGTAGACGTAACGCAGAACAACAATTGACATTTGTTCTTTATGGCTGGCATCAGGTGTACAGTCTACAATAACGAAAAAATATTGCATTTTTTACCATTTCCAAAATATTATCCTTTGTAGCTTTAGCGATCAATAAAATATTTTCTTACTAGATATTTTTTCCCAAGTAATGAGATTTTTTTGGATTTTCTACTGCTCGTTTAACATGTTTCTCTAACACCGGATCAAACTTTGAAAACAACTCAACAATTTTAAAAAATTTACCATTATTTTCGGTGAATATTCTGTCTGAAGATCCTTTAAATGCAATATTTTCTGAGGCCATCATTAAAATAATTGAGATTATTTGCTTGAGCACTTCATCCCAATGTTCTACTTCACTCAAGCATAATTTATTAGCTAAACAATCAACGGCTTGACCACAAAAAAGCTGTTTTTTAAGCTCAATCCACTTTCCATAACATTGAAAATGCTCAGTACTTTGCTCATGTCTTTTTAAAATTATTGTTATGTGACCCCAATCATTTGTTCCTCCTTTTTTAATTTTAAGCAAATTTATCGCTACTAAATATTTTACAACAAAACAGAACACCCGATCTACTTTGGATGAATATACAAGCCAGGTTATTTTAAATAATTCACCATTTGCTGTTTTTCGATGAAAATGTATTTTGTTAAATAATCTACCCAAACTGTCTTTTGGGTACTGGTTAATATTAGCTTGTATTGGACCTTTGGAAACTATATTTTGAATTTGCAAATTCTGCCAATGTTCCGGCCAATTCGTTGTATCACAAAAATCATTATAGCTAGATATATTCTCAGAACTTTTTTCTACCTCACTTCTTAAACATTAATCTTGATTAGCTGTACTAGTGCTAGCATTTAACTCAACATTAATGTTAGTTTCGTCAGTTTGAGATAGAGACTTCTCACCAGTTACGATACATTCATCATACTCACGCTCATGTGTATCAATTTCTTCAACTATCTTATCAGAAATGTCTTCATTTTGCCTAACTTGCAGAAAGCTGTTCAACATTTTTTGATTTTTAAATTGCTCTTTCAGCCTGTTTTCCCTATTTTGTTTGTTTTGCCAAACAGACAATTTCCGTTTCCGATCCATGTTACAGCAAATAATTTTTAATATTTAATTTTTCAGTATTATAATTCAAATTCACTTACAGTGAGTTTATAATTCAAATTCACTTAAAAAATTTAAATTTCTTTTCAAAGTGTAAAAATGAAAATTAACTGACAACATTTTTATGTGGTGCTGATAATACAATTCTTACTTATCTAAATTTTGAAAAAATAGAAATTAACATTCCTTTGGTAATAAAAATTCATTTGGAAGCACCTTTTCATTTATAAAAAAAGGAAAAAATTACTTTACAAAAATTAAAAACTAAAAAAATATAATTTCGTATTGTATAAAATTTATATTTCATATAATCTTGTAGTATAATCTTGTAGGTGCCTTTTAATTTTTGGGGCCTGTGTGCATAGCACACTTCAAACACGCATATATATATATATATACATATATATATATATATATATATATATATATATATATATATATATATATATATATATATATATATATATATATATATATATATATATATATATATATATATATATATGATGTTCAAGAAAAAAAACTAGACAAATAAGAATTTTTGGAGCACTTAAGAACAGTCACAGTAAAAGGTTGAGACCTAATTGAATAAAGAGTAACAAGAAAATGAATTTTAGTAGATGGCAAAAGAGATGGTAGTTCTTTAGAGAAGTGCCCATTATAGTATTTTTAAAAAAGAGAAAGAGATTTTAAGAGAAAAGAAAGAGAAAAAAAGAAAGAGAAAGAGCAACAAATGTTGACAATGTTGAGGTTGACAATGAAGAGAAAATGATGCAAGTGCAGGTCCAAATATGTTTACAAGGCATTTTTACAACTTGCCTGAAAAAGAGAAAGGGCATTATTCCAAAATCCCCTCCATATGCGGCAACAGTATTCCTATACAAGGACAGATTTGAGATTTATAGAGATAAAGAATAGAAACCGGTGTAAGGAAGTGGCAAGTGTGATAAAGAAATGCAACCTTAGCAGATGCTAATTTTGCAATGAATTTGATATATGATTTCCAAGAAAGATCGGAAGTAAGAGTAAATCCTAGAAGACAAAGGATAGGTGACTCATTAAGTACATTACTGTTCATAAATGTAAAGAGATCTAGATTGTTGTGATAACGATTATCTAAAAAATATGAGTTTTATCTGAGTTAACATTCGACAGCCAGTGAGAGCCCCATGCTGTAGCAGAATTCAGTTCCCTTTCAAGCTCAAATGCTTCTTTAAAGTAATTAGAGAGGGTTGGCTTCTTATCAAGACAAGAATAAATGGTAGTATTATCAGCAAACAATGCCACCTTAGATATGAGAATTTCTGGGAGATCGTTAATGTAAATTAAAAAAAGTATAAGGCCATGAAAAGAACCATGAAGAACCCCTGAAGTTAAAAGAAATTAAGACAAGTGCTGTCCATTAAAGATAACTTTTATACAACCATTGGTAAGGAAAGTAGTCTTAAAGATATTACCTGATACATCATAAGAAGAGAGCTTATGGAGAAGACCAGCATGCTAAACTTTATCAAAGGCTTTAGAAATGTCAAAGTTAACAAATCAGCAGTAGAATGAAAAGATCGAATTCTGTATTGATGATCGGAAAGTAAATTATTAGATTCAAGACGAGAGATTAAGTGCTTGTTAATTACTCAGAAACCTTGCTTATGATAGGAAGAAGAAGGTAGTAAGAGGAGTCATGGAAAACCATGGTGAAGAGTAAGGCTTGACTTAAAATCGTCAAAAGGGAATAAAATATTCCATGCCAGTCTGAATCCAAGAAGTTACATAAGAATTACATTTGTCAGCAGAGCCATCATAAAAAAAATCATGGAAAGATTCCAGCCAACCTTAAGGTAGTTGTAAGAGGTAGGATGATAGGGAAATTCTGATGATGCTTTGATGACATTATTAACAATTTTAATTAGAAATTACTTTTTATTGATACCCTTTGATAAAAACTCATTTTGTTTATGGAATAAATATAATGGCAATGTAACAATGTGGTACATTTCTGTCAAGCATAAGTTGCAAAATTCACCACTGGGTTTAAATATTACAACATACGTAGAACAAAACATTTTTGGGTATAATTAATAAAGGATTCCTTAAAGGTCACAAATTTCACAAACTTTAAACAGAACAATTTAAAGGTTAGTTCCCTATCAAATATCAAAAGTATTATTACTTCTCATAATAAAAATATACAACCTAATACTTATGAATATACCAATCAATTATGCAATTGCTGACAAACCACCTAAGGCCCACTTAATGAAAAATGCCTTAAAAAAAACCTAATTTATATTTGTAATATAAAGTGTAAAAGCTCACCAAGATAAAAGGATATTATAACATTGATTAGTAAATTGATATAGGTAATTTGATTAGTAAATTGATATAGGTAGTTTGAAAGTTTAAACTTGCTATATGTGCAGCTAAAATGCAGATAATACATGAAACTTTATTGAAAGTGTCATAGCTATCTTAAAGGGTGTTGCAAATCAGTGGTGCAACTTTTTTATTTTCAAATCAGTGGCGCAACTTTCTTATTTTCAAATTTGGTTTTGCATTTTAATGGCACATTTAAAATCAAATTAAATATTAAACAAAAAAACAAAAAAAAATTAATTTATAAAATTTATAAAAATAAAAAAAAACTTACATTATATTTTGCCTCTGAAAATTTAGAATATTCATTTACAAAACAATTAGATCTATCTTTAAACTTTACAACAGATTCTTTACTCCACCAACTGTCATTGTGATAGTTACCTTGAGCATCATATAATCGACCTAAATTGTAGAATAAACAAGAAACAAGTAACTAATAGACCTAATTTGCAGAATGCTAAAAAAACAAAAAACTGATTGACCTAAATTGCATTTAAGGTATTTTGGATTCATTGATTTAAGTATCTGTTTACACAAGGTCATCTTTTAACATGTTTTACATTATAAAAAATACAGGCATAATTCTAAATACAATTTAAAAAATATCTCTATTAAATTTCTAAAATATTATTATTTGCATTTTGAAATGTTCTCTATATTATTCTACTTTTTGTTTAAAACTTTTGTTCATCTTGGGCAGATGTTAAATGCATCCAGCTGCTGTCTTGTTGAAGGCCTCCTAGGCTTAATGGGTAAACAGATTCTATCTGTTGACTAGCCTCGCACCCCTTCTTTATCTATTAGGCTGGCACAGATGTACTTTTAATATATTGTTTCCAGTTTAGGATGTTGAATGCTGGATCTTCTTGACTCAATGCCTGGGTTTTGCTTGTGTCTCTGTTTTTATGACAAGGCAACTCATTCTATTATCTCCTAATGAGGGTGTAGCTCTAAAACTCAGTTTTATGGTTCTGAGGCCGGCTGGTAGTCAGGTTTCCCAAACTCTGTGGTAGCTCTCAAAGAGGCTGATTCCATCAACAGCTGTAAAATATCAAAGTACTAACAGTGCCATGTTGAGCATGGATGGTGTCCCTGTTTGTACTTATGGTGTGCATTGCCTAGGCCACATCAGAGCCCTTTGTTACGGCTTAGGATTTATTAACAGTAATGAGGCAATTGCTTGGGCTATTAAACAGTGTACTGAGTACTATCTATGTTTTGAGTCAAGTTCTTTAACAAATTTAAAATGAATAAAGTAACAAAAACTATAAAACACAAAAAACCACAGTCATCACCAAGTTTGCTAAACCTATCATTCACTAATATTCGTGGTCTTCGAAGTAACTTTTTTTCTGTTGAGTCTTATCTCTTGCAAAGTTCACCAGACCTACTTGCTCTTTGTGAGATTAATTTGAGTTCAGCTGTCTCATCTTGTGATCATAGTGTTGATGGCTATCTTTCTTTAATTCAAAAAGGCTCCAATAGTCACATGCTTGGCCTGGGCATTTACATTCGTAAGAATTCACCTATTTGTTGGGAAACTAGGTTTGAATCCACAGACTACTCTTTTATGTGTTTTCGTTTAGCACAACTTCACTCTATCCCCTTTCTCTTTGTTCTATATTGCTCTCCTTCATCTCAAGACTGCACTCTTTTAATGCTATTTCTGATCGTATTGACAAAGCCCTCTCTCTTTATTCATCAGCCAATATTGTTGTTGTCGGTGACTTTAATGTTCATCACACTGAATGACTTAGCTCTAATGTCAGTGACTCTGCAGGCATTAAAGCCCACAACTTTTGCCTTTCTCAATCGCTAACTCAAGTAGTCAACTTTCCAACTCGCTTTCAAGTCAACCCAAATCATTTACCTTCTCTACTTGACTTGTGTCTTGTTTCTGATCCTAGTCAGTGCTCAGTTTCTCCACATTCATCCTTAGGTGCCTCTGATCACAGTTTGATCTCTTTAAAACTATTATCTCATTCTTCTTTATCATCAGAATCCCCTTATCATCATACATCTTACAACTACCTTAAAGCTGACTGGCACTCTTTCTGTGATTTCCTTCGTGATGACCCTTGGGTAGAAATCTTTTGTCTTCCTGCTGACAAATGTGCTACTTACATTACTTCATGGATTCAGGCTAGCATGGAATCTTTTATTCCCTCTCGACGATTCCTGGTCAAGCATTACTCTGCTCCATGGTTTTCCTCACATAGTGCTGCTGCAATTGCCAATCGAAACCATTACTTTTATATCTATCAGCAAAACAATTCTCCAGAAAACAGACGTCTGTTTATTACTGCTAGGAACCATTGTAAAAAGGTTTTATCCAACACCAAAGTCCGCTATTCTCAGATCACGAAATCTCAATTTCATCTCAAAAATTAGGCTCTTGTGACTTCTGGAGAATCTTTAATAGTATCAATAATAAGGGCAAGTCTGTAATTCCACCTCTTTTGTATGGTTCAGACTTCGTCACCTCACCTAAAGACAAAGCTGAATTGTTTGCTAAGAACTTTTCATCAATATCATCTCTTGATTCCATTAGTTGCGTTCTACCTGATATAGCCGTCAAACAAGTTGATCCATTGCTTGACATCCGTATCACTCCAGCTACTATATCTAAAGTGATTTCCTGCTTAGACTCTTCTACAGCTTGCGGACCAGACAAAATACCTGTTATAGTCTTGCAGAAGTGTTCTCTGGAGCTGCCGTCTATCCTTTTAAAACTATTCAACAAGTGCTTATCAGAGTCTTGTTTTCCAGCCTGCTGGAATGCAGTATCTGTTATCCCTATTTTCAAAAATTCTGGAGAGCGATCTAATTTGTCTAACTACCGCCCCATTAGTCTTCTTCCTATCATAAGCAAGGTTTTTGAATCTTTAATTAACAAACACTTAATCTCTCATCTCGAATCTCATAACCTACTTTCTGATCATCAATATGGATTTTGATCTTCTCTTTCTATGGCTTATTTGCTAACAGTAATAATCTTTAGGTTTTATCGCGCATTAGATAAAGGTGGAGAGGTTAAGGTGATCGCTCTTAACATTTCTAAAGCGTTTGATAAAGTTTGTCATGCTGGTCTTCTCCATAAGTTTCTTCTTACGGTGTATCTGGAAACATCTTTAAGATTATTGAATCCTTCCTTTCCAATCACAGTATTAAAGTTGTCCTTGATAGACAGCACTCTTCTTCATATTCTGTTACCTCAGGGGTTCCTTAAGGTTCAATTCTTGGCCCTATACTCTTTTTAATTTACATTAAGGATTTTTCCGATATTCTCATATCTAAGGTAGCATTGTTTGCTGATGATACTACCATTTATTCTTGTCATGATAAGAAGCCGACGCTCTCTGATTGCTTGCATTTGAACTTGAAAAGGATCTCACTTCTGCTACAGCATGGGGCTCACAGTGGCTGGTTTTAATTCAGATAAAACTCAACTTTTTTCAGCCAATCATTATCGCAATAATTTAAACCTTCCTATATTTATAAACGGTAATGTACTCAATGATTCATCTACCATTCATCTTCTAGGATTAACTCTTACTTCTGATCTTTCTTGGAAACCTTATATCAAATCTGTTGCAAAATTAGCATCTGCTAAAGTTGCATCTCTTTATCAAGCTCGACACTTTCTAACTCTGGATTATATTCTCTATCTCTATAAATCTCAAATCCATCGTTGTATGGAATACTGTTGCCATATCTGGGGCGGATCTTCTAATGATGCCCTTTCACTCTTAGACAAAAACGCATTGTAAACATAGTTAGACCTGCTCTTGCAGCCAATCTAAAACCTTTGTCACATCGCCGTAATGTTGCTTCTATTTCTTTTTTCTACAAATACTATAAAGGGCACTGCTCTAAAGAGCTAGGGTCTCTTGTGTCATCTACTAAAATTCATTCTTGTGTTACTCGTCATTCAATTAAGTGTTATCTTTTTTCTGTTACTGTTCCTAAGTGCTCCAAAAACTCTTATTTGTCTAGTTTTTTCCCTCAAACATCAGTTCTTTGGAATTCGCTTCTTTCATCTTGCTTTCCTGATTCATATAATTTGCAATCTTTTAGGTTGTCTATCAATTGTTATCTTGCTCTATTATCTTTTCTCTTCCAGTAACTTCTAACACTAATTAGTGGTTGCTTGCAGCCTTGTTGGAAGCGAAGATGTTTAAAAAAAAAAAAAAAAAACTTTTGTTCAAACATTTTATTCAAAATTGATAAAAAGAAAAGAAGTATTAAAATTTATAGATGTAATAAAGAGAAGAAAAAAGAAACTAATATCAAAAAATTTAATGCTGAAGCCAAAATCACCTATAAGCTATAGCAGTACAAGGTAAAATGCGAACTGCAAACCGCGAACTGTTAAAATGCAAACTTTTTTGTTCATTTTAATTGGTTGTTTATGATGTAATGTTTTATTTCCGTTAAATAGTTCATTTAGCGGTATATTTTAAGGACTTTTAAGCGAAAAAATTAATTAAAAAAAATAAAAGGAACTTAAGTGAAACTTGACAAATACATATAAAAAAATATATTTTTAAAATTATTTAATATACTGCCTGCCCAAACCAAACCCTCAGTCTATTTAGCAGCACTCCGTTGCAAGTCAAGCTATAAGATAGTTGATGTAGCAGCACTCTGTTGCCAGTCAGGCTATAAGATAGTCAATGTAGCAACACTCCGCGCATGTTTTACAGTTAAAAAATAAAAATTTTATTTCAAATAAAGCTTTAAAATAGAAAATTAAGAATTGGAGAAATTTTTTTATTATTATTTTTATCATAACAATAATGGTCTCTAAAATATAATGTTTTGGTTCGCAAAAAAGTTCGCATTTTACCGGTTCGCAGTTCGCGGTTCGCAGTTCGCATTTTACTGACAACCGCTAAAAAAATGCAAATTAAGCAAACTTTTAAAACTCTAAAATTCAGCAAGTTTTTAATTTAAATCAGAAAATATTTAATTTATCTCGAGAACATTATTTTTTTGTTATTCATATTTATTTTTGCTTTCATATTCGTTTTTTTTAATCTATTTAATAGTGAATCTTTTATATAATAACTCAGCAAATTTCAACAAACCAACTTCAAGACATTATTATGGGAAAAAAAAAGTTGTTAATGATATTATAATTAAAATTAAATTAAAGTTAAAAATTAAATAATAAGTAATAACAAATAAGAAATCATATATTCATTTTACAGTATTGTATAAACATGATAGTTATTACTGAAAAATTAAAATAATAATAATTTATAATTTTCAAGATTAATAAAAAATAATGCATATAAAATGGGTGTGTGCCAGAATGGAAATTTTGAATTCCAACCGAAACCGGTATTGCCGGAATTGTTAATAAAATTTTGGCCCGAATTCCGGCCAGAACAAGAATTATGTTTATGTAATTTTTTACCTTCAAGATTGAAGTGAAAGCCTGCACCTCAGCATCGTGGCTATATTTACTTATTTATAACTATATATATATATATATATATATATATATATATATATATATATATATATATATATATATATATATGCAAAATCTATTTCATTAATTTGATTCTTCTTTTTCTATCTATTTCATTAATTTGATTCTAATTTGAGGGGTCCAAGGTTGGTCAACAGAATATTCTAATTACTTATAAAGTCTTTGCCTAAGAACTTTTAAAAGGTAGTACCCAGATGAAGTTTACATCTGCCCAAAAAAGTCTTTACCTATGAAAAAATATATAACGGCAGCAGAACTGGTTAAAAATTGAATTACATATTAACAGTAGCAGAATCATGATGATTAACCCTAATATGAACCAACCTTATACCCAAAGCAATCTTTAAACTTTATACTAGTGTTGTTATCAACTTTGACTAAATCGACTAAATTGAATAGTCGATTTGATAAATATGGACATCCTACTAATCGACTAAAAGTTGATTTATATAAAAATCTTAAAATCTTTATATTTTTTCATTTGATTTAACTTTTCAATCTTTAATTTTTGTATGTTCATATAATAAGAATAGTATGTACTATTAGGGCAAAGTCAAGTAGCCCCGGACAGCAGAGCTACCCGCTATCCGGGGAAGAAGTTATGTGATTTTAAATACTTTTAAAATAAAAACATTATTTGAGTAAAAAAATGGAATATGCAAAATATCATAATATGCTGAAGCGATTGGCTGGGAGTACAAGATATTGTTCCCCAATATGAGAAGAGCAATATGTCATCATATTTGATTCACATTAGTATTAGTATGAAAATCTGCAACACAATTAACTTAAAAATAGTGCAATAAAAAACCTTAAGATTTGAAAAAAGTGTTTTTAAAGTGTTTATTTTCATTTGTAAAATGCTTATGTTAATATTTCTAAATGATGATATTTTCATTCCCATTCCTTATATATCAAAGGCAATTTTTAATGACAATTTTTTCTAAAAATGTGACTTTTCCCCATAACTATTATATAGTTTTTTGTTTACTCTCAAAAATTTTTCTAATTCAAAAATTTTTCTAATTCAATTTCTAATTCAACTCAAAAATTTTTCTAATTCATCTAAGTATTATTTATACCTAATTAAACTTTTGATTATGGGCTTCATTGATTTTTTTCTTCTTTTATTTACTCGATGCTTGTAATTTTTATAAATACTTTCATAAAGGGCCGCTCCAAGCTGGCTCGGGACCCTGGGGCAGAATTAAGTTGTGAAAAAAAATCTAAATGTTATTAATCTATACAACTACATTGTAAATGTGATTGTAATGACTTTTTTGATATATAGCAAGTATTTAAGGCGGTACAAAATTATTGGGGTCTGGGAATAGATTGTCCCATGATATGATACTAAAAAATAAAAAGAGAAGATAAATTACTTTATTATTAATTTTATTACAATTTGTTTCAAATAATTATTCGCATACTTCAACTAAATCAACTTTTAGTCGACTTCAAAAATGTATTAGTTGATTTTATTCGACAATCAAATTATTTAATGTTACTACTTTTTTAAAATTATTTAATAGTCTTAACATTACTACTTTATACCCATCTAACTTTAAAACCTATGAATTAAAAAAATATTTCAATAAAATGTGACAAGTAGTTTTTAAAATATATAATAAAGCTATGTGTAAAATAATAAAAAATAGAAGCAAAATATTAATATAAAAACCATTATTGTCAAACCCATGGGTAATTTCATGTCCAATTACACTTCCCATACCGCCATAATTAACAAACTTTGGATAATCATATTTGAAATATGGAGCTTGGAGAATACCGGCAGGAAATACTAAAAAAAAAAAATATTTGTATTTATATATAAATTATTACTCATTTGTGTCAAGAAAATTTACTAAATAAAAAATCTCAATTAATTTCTAAACGCAGTAACGCAGAAAATAAGTACCTTTTAAAAAATCATAAAAACAAATGACCAGACTAAAATTATCCTAATTCTAAAAGATTTTTTCAAGAATAATTTTTTAATTTAAATTTAGTTGATGCAAGTTCCTGGTTGCAAAATAACTGCAGTTATTACATAATTAATTAAAACAATTCCTAACTTCCTGTATAATATTTCTTTCTATAATTTGAAATTTTTGATATTTAGACATTCTTCATGAAGAACCTACTGATGGTGAAACAAGTTGTTGAAGAAAAAATTAGATAAGTGTTTTTTACTAATTTATATATATATATATATATATATATATATATATATATACATATATATATATATATATACATATATATATATATATATATATATATATATATATATATATATATATATATATATATATATATATATATATATATATATACATATATATATATATACATATATATATATATATATATGTATATATATATATATGTATATATATATATATACATATATATATATACACATATATATATATATATATATATATATATATATATATATATATATATATATATATATATATATATATATACATATATATATATATACATATATATATATATATATATATATATATATATATATATATATATATATATATAAATATATATATATATACAGGGCCTATTCTAGGAAAAAAATTATATATATATATATATATATATATATATATATATATATATATAAACAACAAAAAAGACGAGTCATGACTCGCACGTAATGTTTCCTAACTCAATTTATTTGAGCAAATTAAAGTTCCACATTAAGTTCAAAACATTTGACATTTTTTAGAAATATAAATATCTTTATAATGATTTTTTTTTGGTGTGTTATATTCTTAGCAGGAATAAAAGATATTTTTACATTTTATAAATGTTCAAAATTATTTAACTTATTTCATCCTCTCTTCTTAAGCTATTTAATATTTATTTCACGTCTCTTCTTTGTGTCATATAGTACAGAGAAAATTGTGTTTTGAAATCTTCTTTGTATGATATAGTAGAGAAAAAATAAGAATGAACAATAGTTTGCAATTGAACTTTGAATAAATTTATACTTTGATCTATTATAATTGTGTACATTGCTTTTAAGTACATTTTTAAATAGTTATAATGATTATTTACATGTATTTTCTTTTTTTATATTTATTTATATATTATAAATGTAAAAAAAAAAATATGCTGAATAGTATTACGTTTTTATGAAAAAACTTTTTTGATGGTTTCAATAAACCTTTTGTAACCTTTTAAATGGTTGAAACAACCTTTTAATTGACAACTGTCAATAAAAATATATATTGTATGGAAAGTTTTTGAATATCCAAGTTTTTAAATAGATTATTTTAAAACTAAAAGTTTTAAAATACATTGAAAAAATTTTTACATAGATATTCGAATTTTTGATATAAAACTTATTTGAATTGATAGCTCGATAGCTAAGATACTTGATACAATTATATATTATATAAATTAGATGTCTAACTTGTGGGATTTTATTGGATGAAAAATGAATCTGCTTATTTTGTTTATAAATATAGTCTGCACTTTGTAAAAAGGGCAAAAGCTGATAAAAGTTAAAAATGCAAGTTAAGAGCATCAAAAGTTCCTAATAAATTAAAGATAATTCAAAAACACATTTTAATAATTATAAAATACTTATAAAAGTTTTTTTATGAGCCTATGTTTATTAAAAAGTATTATAATTCATAAAAATGCTGTAATAGCGCCAGTATTTAAGTGCATATATATGCACTCAAATGGATATATAGCTAGAAGAGAACAAGAAAATCATATATAATATTGATATAAAGCAAGAAGAGAACAAGAAAATCATTACCAAAAGATTAAAAACTGTAAATTGTAAAAAATGTGTACAAATGAATTCTAATTAATGCATATACACTTTTTTATATGTAAAACAATCTAATTAAACTTTTTATGTTATAAAATTTAACAAATCAGCAGACTAGAAGTATTAGTAGTAGTAGTAGTAGTATTAGTATTAGTATTAGTAGTAGTAGTAGTAGTAGTAGTAGTAGTATCAGTTGTAGGTAGTAGTAGTAAGTAGTAATAGTAGTAGTAGTAGTAGTAGTAGTAGTAGTAGTAGTAGTAGTAGTAGTAGTAGTAGTAGTAGTAGTAGTAGTAGTAGTAGTAGTAGTAGTAGTAGTAGAAGTAGTAGTAGTAACAGTAATAGTATAGTAGAAGTAGATTTGGATGTCTAAATGAGTTTTAGAAAGAGACAACTTCAGCAGTGGAAATCTAAGTGATTTTGATGTTTATAAATGTATTAAGCTGTTTATCTTGGATGACAGAAATAGCATAGTTAATCATTAGATTCAAAAAATTTTTCCAATTTCAAGAACCTGGCTTCTGAAATGAAATACAAGATTAAGTAATCTGAGAATGATGGACCTAAGTGTGAACAGCTTTTTGCATCAATTTCTTGCAATAATAAAATTTTTGATCTTAAAAGAGTTGATTCTTGAAAAAAAGATGAAAAGAAATATTTACTATTAGAAATGACAACTACACAAGAGGAAAAAAATCATGGGATGGAGCAAAACATAACTTAAACTGACAAGAAGAAATAAAGGCTTACAGGCTTGTTTAAATCCAGGAAATTATTTATATAAACACACATATATATTTATACTATATAGAGAATATAAATTTATTTAAAAAAAAAAAACACAAAAAAACAACAACATCAGTTTATGCCAAAATGTCAGATTTAAAGAAAAAACCATCTATAGAAAAGATCTTTTAATTTCTGTTATTTTAATCCCTTTCCTTAAGTCACACCTCAGCCAGCATTTATCTATACCCCTTCCTAAAGTTACACCTCAGGCAGCATTTGACTATACCCCTTCCTTAAGACACACCTCAACCAGCATTTGCAGTCTTGTCTTATTAAAAACCAAATTTTGTATGCATATAAAAACACTACTGAACCAATACAAATCAGTACAAACCCTACTGAACTAGCCATGTTGCATGCTAGTAATTTGTAATTTTTTTCATATTTGCCATGCCACAACACACTTTAGACAGTATCTCATATTAAAAACACTAACATTAAAAAATATAAGCTTGAACCTATTGCAAAACCAAATGTGTTCTCATAGAGGTACATGTATGTATGTATGTATGTATGTATGTATGTATATATGTATGTATGTATGTATGTATGTATGTATGTATGTATGTATGTATGTATGTATGTATGTATGTATGTATGTATGTATATATTAGTGATGTACCGATATCACTTTTTTGGCCGATACCGATGCCAATGAATGGGAAAAGGCCGATACCGATGCTGATACCGATGAATTTACTAATTATTAAAAATTTTAAAATATAAAACCATACAACTTTAAATTGGTATTGGTAAACAAATACTTGGACTCAAATCAAAGCCAAACAATTATTTTTAAAAGATATTAGAAAAAACTGTTAAAAAAGTATACATTTTTATTTTTTTCCAGTATGAAAAGAAAACTTTAAAAAAAATTAATACAATTTTAGAGGAACGCTTTTTATTTTAATTTTAAAGAAAGAAAAGACGCATATGTAGTTTACTTAGAATTCTTTATTAGTTTATTAGTAATTCAGATATCTAAACAACCATCATATGTTGTTTAGACATAAATTATTTTTAGATAAATAAATTGTTTTTAGAATTATTTTAATTTGTGGTGTTGGATCCCCACCACGTCCCTGGTAGTACAGCGCTTAACTTGTTTCTACACGCAGCGGCATTGTTCATCATGGTTTGTGTTTCTGAGTTATAAAGTTGAAAGTGGGTTGTAACCATAACTAAAGTAGCCTCCTCACTTGAAGTGGCCTTCGTGGCCTTAGGGAGGTGAATTTAAATTAAAAAATTAAAAATATAAAAATATATTTGGTACTTGGCTATACTTAAATACATGAAATAAGGCTGAACTATTTGCAAAGAAATTCTCTTCTAATCTGACTTTCGAATCTAATGGCCGTTCTCTTCCTTCCATTCTAATTAAACAAGTTAACCCATTGTTAGACATTCGAATCATTTCAGCTTCCATTCAGAGTCATATCACGATTAAATTCTTTTATGGCTTGTGGTCCAGACAACATTCCTGTCACAGTCTTACAAAATTGTTCTCCAGAACTCTCTTCAATTTTCTATAAACTATTTAATAAGTGCTTGACTGAAACTTGGTAAACTTACTGACCCCTTCGATTATTGTCCAATCAGTCTTCTTTCTGTTATTAGCAAGGTCTTTGAGTCTTTGATAAACAAATTTCTCACATTCCATCTCGAGTCAAATAACTTGCTGTCAGAAAAATAACTATTGTAGTACTGTCGACATTGCTCTATTGATGAATGGCAACTCTCTCACTGATTCCTCTTCTTTACCTCTTCTTGGATTATCATTTACTACTGACTTTTCATAGAAACCATATATACAATTAATTGCTGAAATAAGCATCTGCTAAGGTTGCTTCTTTTTATCGTGCTCACCGTTTTCTCTCTCCTGATTCCATTCCTTACCTCTACAAATCTCTTATTTGTCCCTGTATGGAATACTGTTATCATATTTGGGCTGGTTCTTCTAATGATGCTCTTTCTCTTCAAGATAAGGTTTAAAAACGCATTGTAAACAGAGTTGGACCCGGTTTATCTGCAATGCTTGAGCCTCTTCCCCATCATCGTAAAGTTGCATCTCTTTCTCTTTTCTACAAATACTATCATGGTTGCTGCTCAAAGGAGCTTTCATCTTTAGTTCCATCAATCAAAACTCATTCTTGCTTGACTTGTCATTCATCTAAGTCTTATTCTTCGACTCTATCTGTCTCTTC